ACAAGCTTTGAGCAAGAAAAACAATAAACTTTTGCTGGAGGTTTCCTCGAAATATGAAGAGACTGCAAAATAAATTGAAAACATATTAAAAACTGGCGCCAAAGCTGATCAAATTGATGCCTGGCCTGCGGGACGACGACCAAAGTCGTTACCCAGAACCCAGAAATACTGCGAAACTTATAAACTCTGACAACAACACAGCCACAGCAAATCGGAATGGGAATCGGAATGAGAATGCGACTTCGTCTGAGAATAAAGTGAAATAGAAAAGCTAGAAAATGAAATGGCATGTGAGTCGAGTCGACGTTGCGGCCAGGGGCTCGACAGTCCGGCAGGGACTTGCATTTCTCTGGATCACGCAAACAGAGCGCAACGGACACGTCCCCATAAGAAAGGGGTGGGACAGAGTTCGAGTATGTGGCTATAACGGGGGGCGGGGCTGTACGAGTATAACAGCAAACAACAGCACTCTTGGGCCTGCCAATGGCACAGTTCAATTTCGCTTTAGACGGAGAACACAACAATAAAAGGAAAGAGAAACGGATGCTAAGAAAAATGAAACTTGTAGGAACAAGTTGTCATCGATTTAATCAGAGTAAAGTTTTATATACAATACGTTGACAGATTGTTTTTCTTTTGGGATAATTGTGGAACATCTGAATGAATGAATGATATCGATGGAAGGATAGATTCGATCTTCCATTTAATGTAAGCCAATAAACCACGTTAAGTTGCCTTTGGCCAGTAGTTCAGTTCTAGGAAGCAGTTCTGTTTATGCATAAGACCCACTCCCTGTTCCTCTGTTCTCTTTTGCAGCGGCAAATTTAATGCATGCGTTTCGGGAAGACCCATTCTGCAGAGAGAAAGAGAGAATTCCAAATGAAATACGCTCCTAATTAGTGGCGACCCTGTGCCCATTTTTTCACAAAGAGCCAAAAAAACGAGAAGTTTAATTATTTATGAAAACATGAAAAGCAAGCGCCTCTGCCTCTGCCACTGCCACTGCCATAGCAGCTGCCTCGGAACATTTTTCATTAGAGCGGGCGTTGTTCTGTTCCCGCTGCTCCCCGTTTCTTCCCCTCCATAAAGAAATGTTTTACAATGTAATTGCAAAACGTCCAAGTCCAAAGCTAAACCCAAACAAAAACCAACTTTGACCGACTACGGCCTGACCGCTGTTGCGGCCTTGAAGCTGGGGCTGACTGGCAAAAGGACTGGGCCAAATGAGCGCGGCACGGCGCGGGCTAACTCATATGTAATTTGTTTTTAGCGAGCTCCGACACAGGGCTCAAAGCATGCAAGGCAAAGAGCAAACAGCAGCACATACTCGTACTCATATACTGGTATTATATGGCCACGATATATTACACTCATACACGCGAGAGGGCCAAGAGCAAGCCAGCGAACAGAAATGGCCTACAGATACACAGGAAGCGGGGTGAAAGGGTTGTGGGAAAACAAGAGCCATTAAAAAGGCTGAGGGCAAAAGTCAAAGTGAAAGTATCACGGAAGAACCCGAATAAAATGTCGGTCACATTAGGGTAATATATATTTGATATGTTGGCGAGGGAATGTTACCAAGAAGGGTACATCGTTTTGGATAATGGTATGTCGGAAACATAACTCCGATTGAGGCTATAAAAGGTACTCGAACTTTACGATTCAGATGGACTCTGCTTATGGAAAGAATTGAAAGTGAATCATTAATAAATATTTACAAATTTTATATATTAATTTTTAAGGAAATTTAAAAGTCTTCATGAAACTCGAAAGTTGATTCCTTCAGGATAACCCAATAATATTACTTTTAAAATAAATTTTCTGTTTACTTCCGCATAAAAACTTTCCAAATTTGTTTTTGCTCAAAGAGAGAGCACTTGAAAACCATTTGCAACTCCAGTTAACAAACATATAAAAGAAAAGATGCAGAAAAAACTGTGCTCTGTTGGTTCAACAATTTACATTACAATATCATGTTGTATATTGTGTTCTCAAACAAGTAGAAGCTAAATGCCAATAAAACAAGCTTTTTAAAAAGTTTTCTATGTTTTTTCTGGGTTTTTTCTCTGGCTTTGTGTGTGTTCCAGGGACGTGTGTGTGCTCTGTGCTCTGTTCTCGCATCCCTTTTCATCATGTGCTGACACATCCTCTGCTCTTACTCGCTATTACCATGTATCTATGTATCTATGCATGCAAAATGCCCATTTTGGTCGCTGGCTAAATGCCTTTTTGTGTTCGTTTTTATTTTTATTTTGCCAGGGCAGGGACAGCGAGCCGGGCCCCGTTTAGCCTTCAACTCTGGCCGCTGCTTGATATTGATTTTTATACGCTGGTCGCTGGGTTTGTAGTAGTTTCTCTACAAGGTTTTTTAATATTTAAAATCGTTTTCTGTGTGTGTCTGTCCCTTTCTCTCTATCTATAAATACATGGCCCTCTCTCTCACACTCTTTGTTGCACAAACACAATTCGGAAATGACCCAAAAACAGCTTAAATCTCAATAAAAGGGCATTTTGACTTGAACTGTCAGTCGGATGGATAGTCAGGCGAAGGGTTTTCTGGGTCGATGTGTCGGGTCGCATCGGGTTGGGGTTGGGGCTGGGTGGATATGGGGTTGGGTCTGGCAGTGGGTCTCTTGTTTTTAGTCGTCAACATTTCTATGCCAAGTACTCTCTCATACACACACACACACACACATACATGTTCTCTGTTGTTATTCGCTCGGCAAAGTGAAATTGTGTTAAAAATCGCATTCCTTTCTCGGCTTCTGTGCAGCGGAAATTGAAAATAGCGTCGCGTTGTGTGCCACTCTCGTCCTTTTTCCTTTTCCGCTGTTGTTATTGCTGTTTCTGCTGCTACTGCCATTGCTGTACAAAATGCTCATATGGCATGAAAATTTAATTGGAGTAAAATGCTGCTGCACAACTCTCAAAAACTAGTTAGAGACAGCACACGGGAAAACGGGGAAAAATGCAAAAAAAAAAAAAAAGAAAGAAAGAAAACAAATCTAACCAGGGGAAGAAAAATCGCTGGCAAAACTAGCACATAAATCAGCGAGAGTTTCCTTTTTTATTTCCCCTCTCTCTTGCCTTTTCTCTCTTTCTCTGAGTGGTTATTTTTTGCTTCCTCTTTGGCTGCCACGAGATTGAAATGTGCATATGGCATTAGCTTTAAATATAGAAGAAGCTTATAAAAATAATATGAATCATGTGTGTGCGGCCGAGTGGTAACACAAATGTTTATTAGTCATATTCATAGAGTATCGTTCTGGGTTTTTAGTGGAGTCCGATTCGTGAAGTAGAATATTTATGGAGTGGGCAAAATAAATGAAAAAGGTATGAAGAAATAGGACAACAAAATCTCGAAACTTTAGCAAAATGCATTTGATTATAATATAGTCTTTCAGACAACAACTTCGACACAGTTTTCCACCCACAAACACAAACGCGTAGAACCCATACTAGCAACGCACAAAACAGGGCACAATATATTTATGAGCTTGAAGCTCGTAGTTACATAAAATGTAACGATATCTGAGGAGCTGCCTGGTTCTCCTAAAGCCCAAAATAAACACTTAATTTATGCCAGGGAACTGTGTGTGTGCCTCTGGGGTGCATTGCTGATAAATCAAAGCCCGCAAAGAGTCTTTGACACTGCTCTCGGCCATGGTCGAGTAGCGGCTGCCACCTACAACTAGATATCCACAGGCTACAGTCCACACAGCCCACAAAATTTGGTCACTTGTATGTCTGCCCCTGGGGACTGGGACTGGGTCTATGCCGGAGAGCCAAAAGAGTCTAAAACAAGAAACAACAAAAAAAAAAAAAAACACACGTTACGTGCACACATTTTATGCTGACATCAGCTGTTTTGGGAAGAGCTTACGGCTTGGATTTGCTGCTTTGACCTCGTTTTTCGAGAGCCCACAAGCCAAAGTAACAAACAAGTACCAACGTATGTATACGTACAACAAAAATGGCAGAACACGGAAAAAGACAACACAGGAATATGTTGTCCAATGGCCAAATATTTGCCGTAATGCGTTCGGAAAACACAAATCCAGAAGATGATGGAAATATATTTGGATAAGAGAAAAGGAGTCCCGTCCCCGTCCCCCAGTGAAAGCATAACTCATACACCATGTGGACGGAGTTTTGCTTGATGATTTCCCTTCCCCCCTCCCTCGGGCGGCTCAATGACAAAGTTCAAGAGGGCGAATGGAGATAAAACATTATGGAGCATCATCAACAATGTTTAAAACGAAATTAACTTGAGTCGAGTTAAAGGGAGACTCCTTCAAAAGCTTCGATGCCAGCAAAAGTTCATCAACATCAGCAAAATCATGAAGGAAAATTAATTTTTAAAATCCCTGAAGGGAGAATGGGACTGAATAATAATTTGTAAAGGGATTTTTGATGAATTTTCCAACAAAATGCAGTAATTTTCCCTAATGTTCGAAAATTCCAAAACAATAAATGAATTTCGTTATGCATTGGGCGCCAGAGAGTGCACTGTAAATGCCTTCGAGACCAATTTTCATTAGTTAAGCACTTTGGCTTGGGAAATCTTAGTTCAGTTCCGACCTGCGACAAAGCTGAAAAAAAGTATAAAGGCCAAAAACTATGTCAGGCAAACCCACAAATATAACCAATACAAAAATAATCCAACAGTTGATGCTCCGAGTAGTTCGTTGTCCTACAAAAGTGCCACAAAAGTTGTGGGGACAACGAGCTGGCTGCCTTTCTTTAGTGGCTGGCAGACTTGTCTTTGTAGCCGGCTTAAGGATTGCCATCTCTTTCCCCTGTATCTCTATTATGTACATATCCCTGTGTGTGTGAGTAAAAGATAAACTTATGGCACACACACACACACACTGAGACTAAGATAGAGCGCAGGAAACGAGAATAGATGCCTTTCTCTCGCTCAGCAGGCTCCCTGCCGCCACCCATTTGGCACACGTCACACGTAGGGAAAATTCGATTTTCTTTTTGGTTTCGCTTACTTTAAGTTTTGTGTGTGACTTTCTGATGCACTGAATAAGACTTCAAGACTTGCAAAATGCTTTAAATGCTTCCTTTGTGGTGGTGTTGGTTTCTTCTAAGATTATTTCTGGCTGTGTTTTGTTCTGGCGCTATATGTTTGTCTGTGACATGTTTCTGGTCAAATGCGGCGACCTTGACTGTCAGCAGCACACTGCATTGCACTGGTCCTCAGCCTCGGCAGGGAGGCGTCTATCTCTCACTGTTCTGGCCACATTTTCATTTAAAATAAACTTTGTTTCAACGCGCAATCAATAAAAACAACACACGAAACGAGCACGTTGCGTTGCGTACACGTAACGGCCACTTTCTCAACTTTCTTTTGGAATTCACAAAACACACGTACACGCACACACACACACACTACAGCACGGTGGGGATCTCTCTCATTTTGCGGTGAAAAATTGACAGCTGCATATGCGTTATTATGTTGATGATGAGATTTCCTGCTTATATGGTAAGCATTTTATTTATTTTCCTTTCTTCCTTTTTTTTTTATTTATTGTGGGGGCCTTGCTTTGGCTGAGCAACGTGAACGCGAGGCGATTGGCGTGTGGCTTGCGCGCTGGGTCTTCGTGCACGGTACGCGTCCTTGTTCCAACTACTGACGTTCGAACGGTGTGACATGGCCACAGACTCGAGAATCGGAATCCTGGACGCCCCCCAAAAGAAGGCAGGCCACAAAATAAGCTTTTACTCGGGCTTTTACTCGCTCTCTGCTTTCTTGCTCTCTCAGAGTCTCTTCCTCTCTCTTCGAGCACTTTCCATTCAGCTGATTGCATGCGCCTGCTCCGCCTGGTCCTCTCTCTTGTGTGCTGTGTGCTGTGCTGTGCTCTCCCGTGTTGGTTGTCCCAGGCTCTTTTTTCATGCACGTGTTCTCCCTTTTGCCACCACCCGTTGGCTTCTTCACGTTTTTGTTTTGTTTTCATCATTCGTCGTTGGGCAAGGTTAACAAAAACAACTGTGTGCGCGTGTATGCGAATATCTGTGTGTGTCTGTGCCTGTGTCTGCTAGTGGGTCTGGGCGCCAACATTCCAAAACATCTGATTGCTGTCAAAAAATGCTCCATGTGTCAGAGATTCGGTTGGACATGCGCATTTCCACCCCTGAAAACCGTCAAGAAGATGATAGCTGGTGGTTTCTGGGCTTAGATATTCGCTTTATCTGTGGCTATGGCTCTGGTTTATGGTTTATGGTAAGGAAAATTAAGTAGATTTTTCGATTAATGGAGTGAATTTGAGTGGGGTAGCTGAGAAATAATGGATAACGAGTATAGGGACATAGAAATATTTATATTTATACTCTAAAAATATAAAATATTAATGAATATATATATCGTAACCAATAAAAGCTGCATAAAATCGACAATGATTCAAGACTCATTAAAATTAAATAACAAACTGAAATGGCAACCCAAACACACAACTTTGAATATATAAATGTCAAAATTTGTTAACTTTTGCAGCCATAGAACCACTGCAACAATGCACTTTGAGCTCCTCCCTTTTTTGCTATTTCCACCATTAAAACCCGCAGAGAACTTTCCACTAATTCTCAGATGGCTTAGGTCACTCAACACATTCCCTATGCGCGGCATTAATTTCCCGCTCTGCAAATCTGCGACATTTATGCCGGGCTTGCTGTCAGTCTAAACTAATATTAAAGTGCCATCTTCCAGCCCCAGCCACCGGGATGCCAGTCCCCACTCCACAGACCTGCTTATGCTGGATCCTGCCCCCAAAAACTAACCACAAACACCAATTACGCGTATGCTGCTGCTGCTGCCTTCGCGAGGAGAAAAAAAAGTATGACAGGAAAACGGTTGCCGTGCGAAATTACGCCCAGAGACCGCAAAAATAAAATGAGACAAGGCTCAGCAACTCTACCTGCAGCTGCACCTGATCCTGGCCCTTACTTTGGCTATGGTGTTGGGTGCTGGCCAACAGTTAACCCTCTGTTACTGCCAGCAACAAAATCTGTTGCAACCAACCAACCAACCAACCAACCGGCTTGCATACATATTTTCAGAAAAGTTGCGACATTTTTGCCAGCGAGTTGACGACGGACGCTTTTTATTTTTAGCCGGCGCGTGAAAATCCGAGAGGTGACACTTGTCCAAATTATCTTGCAGGATAAACAAGCGCACTTAACGTGTTATCAGAGGCAAACGATGCCAGGCAACAGGATGAGGACGAGAACACACACACAGGACACTCCAGCACACAGCTGCAGAGCGAACGGAGAACATAACCAGCATTGTAATCAAAAGCAGGCGAAAGCTGGAAGAGCGAACAAAACTGACATGCAGTTGACTCCAAAAGAGTCCTGGCCCAGGACGAGGACGAGGCATGCAACGGACGCCTGAGAGTGTGACCGTCGACAGCGACGCGTCGTCCTCCCCACTGTGAGGCGACTGCCACTGTGAGTGCGAGTGCGAGCTTGTTGGTGTGTGTCCACACGGTCGACAGCTGCTGCATAACCCATACAACTGCTCACACTCACACTCTCAAGCCAAGTTGAAAATGTTTAACACGAAAAGGAGTTATCACGCTGACAGCCTAGCCAGGACCCGTGGCAGCCCGAGGCTCGAAGCTGGTCCCGCTGCCATGGCACAGACGACGTGCCTTGCTGCAAAATTATGACAAAGTTCTGCGGGACAAAAATGCCGCAAAGGGCGTGGAAAAAATTGCCTGAAATGAAAACCACAAAACGGAGGAAACTTAGCCCTTCGCGGCCTTTAAGATGCCGGTCTTGTGGTCTGCACAAATAAAGATTGCGACTTGATGTGTCTTTGCTGCTAACAATGGAATGGAAATGGTCTATGAAATGCTTTACATTCTTTAGTTTGAAACAGATTGTTGCTTTAAGCAGGGTAACGATGGGACTAGAAAAGTTAAAAGTCTATTAAAATTACAATTTATATAGAAACATAAATATACACACGATTTGGATTGTTTGGGAGTGTTTAAACCGCTGAAAATATCATCCTCCATCTGTTGTGGCTGCAAATTAAAGCTGTCTCCTCTGTTCAGTAGACTTTTGCCTCCCTTAACCCCGTAAAATATCTACCAATTTGCGCACCTCTTCACATAAAAGCCCTACAAACTCCATCCTGAACTCATTATATGCTTATGGACAGAACGTTCAACAGGAAAACAGGAAAAAGGGTTGAAATTGCATTGCGCAGCCAGTAAAAAACGAGAGAGTTTCCAATCTACTAACCCACCAAAAAATTAAAGTCCTGCCACAGGAAAAATAGTAAAAAAAAAAAAAAAGGGGCACCGCAGGCTGTGCGACAGCAGCAGGATCGCAGTGCAAAGGCGAGGCAATAGAGGGGGTTTATGCCAGACAGAACACGCCTACATCGGGGGGCCGTCAGCTGCTGTCACTCACCGCAGCGCACACTGCCTCATCCTGAGGCAAGGCTGCAAGTGAATGCGGGGAAAAAGCGCGAACGGTTTGAAGAATTGAAGTAGCCACAGTTGTTGGAACCGAGCCGGAAAATGAAGTTCCCGGAGTCGCAAATTTCGCTGCTACTTCACGCCACTTCATAATTGCCGTCGATTAGAGGTTTGGCTTTTGCGGTGGCTTTCGGTCACCTCAAAATTGACTTTAAAATGTGGCCACAAGATCATTTAGCTCTCAGATTATGACAAAGTCAGGGGGACTAATTACATGTGACCCGCGACAGTTTCCCGCCCGCTTTTGACGGCATCTTTGTTGTTTTAGGCTCAGAACAACAATGACAAAACCAGTAACTGATGCAGCAGCAACGACATGGTCACAAAAGCCAACTTAACCCGCTAACGCGTTAAAGAGAGCAAGCCGATTGGTTAAAAGCCAGCAACGAGCGAGCACCATCCTGATGATGCGGATGAGAATGACGGTGGCGCCTGGTTAACTCTGCCTGACTGGCGGCTGCCTTGGTTTACTGGTTGGTTGGCTCTGGGCTCTTGGCCTGGCCAGAAGTGCGCGCATGGGGTTGCGGCGGGTTAGAGGAATGGCAAGTCAAAGACTTTTTGAGTGGACTGCAGCACTCTGCAGAGGTTAAACACTAACCTGATGATGGCACAAGCACAGCAACAGCAACGCAAGAACAAGAAATGTGGAGAAAACTTTAAAAGAAAATATTCACGATAAAACCGAAGTGGATATGCTCTGCTTAGCGGAAGACTAATAGGGCAATAAGTGGAAAAGCTATATAGAAAAATGAATTGTTCCACATGAGGATATATATATATACCTTATACATATATCCGAAACTTCATTTGAAGTGGGGCAACGCACATTCGGCCACACCTTTCAGTGCCATCAAACTGAGGTTCTGTTTATGCAAATATGTTTGGGTCTGGGGTTTTTCTTTGCTCTTGTTGCTGTTTTTGCACATTTGTAACTGTGTTAGGCGTGAGGCTGTAAAGCGGAGGGAAATACACAAACACACACACACACAGGAAAACAGAGGAAAGCAGGTGAAAATGAAGACATTCTGTGTGTACTGAAGTTGAAATTTGTTTTGTTGGCATTCTTTTTTTGGGATAGAGTTTGCTTACCTTTTGGCCAGGTTAGGTTTTTTCCTGGCTACCTTTTTTTTTTTTTAGCACTTTAAGACCATCAGCAAACAGAGCAAAAGGATGTTGTGGTTGCCGTCTTGAAATATGAAAGCATTATGACTTTATGAACACTAAATATATGTTTTAATTTACGTTATTTTTGTCTAAGTATTTTGTAGTTTTGTTGCTGTGGCTGTGTGGATATGTTTGATGCTGTGTGCAGCCTGTGAACTGTCTCATATGTGGCTGCCACAGAAACAGGCAACATTATGACGTTGACGAATAACTTTCAACACTTTTTTGTCGGCTCTCCCCGTTTCGGTTGGAGTTGCTTTCCATGGTGCATATGCTGCATATAGCATAACATTTTAACAAATGCAATATATTCGTATTAAGCTGAAAGCGTGATATTTATTACAGCCAAAGGACGTTGATTTATGGTAGTCAAAGGTGGATTCAAATATTACATTTCTCTACTGAGATTTTAAGTTGATTTTTTTAAGCCCTAATCACAGCCGACAGCCGACTGATTGATAAAATACCGCTTTAAGTTCATTTACCTAGGACCCTATACCAGTGGCACTCTTTTGCTTTGCTTTGGTTTTCCAACCCAAATGGCTGGCCGACCCAAAGGATTGTGGCACAAAGGATACGGGTACGGGTAAGGGGTAGGGGTACTGGTACTATTACGGGGTGGCACATAAAACTAAGCCAAAACTACACTCAGCTCAACCTCAAAACTAGCTAACCAACAAACCTTATTAAAATGCGAGCTGCCCCCTTAACCCATTACTCTCTAACCCGGAGACCGAGGCAAGGCGTGGTGGCGCCTGCCCTGCACCCCAACATCCATCCACCATCCACCCATCCACCCATCTACCCATCCGGCTCGCCCAACGCACGTAAGGAAGCGTATAATTTAATTAAATTATCTGGGGCAGCTGCTGATGCTGCTGCCACCGATGATCCTACCGCTGCCGCTGCTGCTGCTGCTACTGTTGCAAGTAGCAACGAAAAATGTGCATCAAAGTGCACTTAAATCATCAGCGAGGCACGGCGACATACAGAGA